CAGCCCCTTAATCCCAGACGTGTAGCACCTGCTTTAGGTGCTATGATGCAGGCACTGGTGAAACTCATTTACATGTTTTCACATCTTCACTTAAGGTTGGTTGTGGGTGACATTTTTGCCATGACTGTGGATATGGAAAGCTCAGATGTCACGGCCCGATGTTAACAGGTTTTTAATTTGAGCTATAGCAAAGCTTAACAAGCATACCTGAAAAATGTTGTCCTGTGTTCCAGGCTGGAAGGGATGCCAGCATGGTATGGTCCAGTCTTGTCAGATCTCGGAAGCTAAGCAGGATCAGTACTTAGAAGTGAGAGTATCAAGGAAGGCTCTGCAGAGGAAGGCAATGGAAAACCACCTCTGCTTTCCAGTTGCCTTGAAAGCCCCTTCCCGTGGTCACCATAAATTGGCTGCAACTTGACAGCACTTTACACACATACATATTCTGGGCTATTCTCAATGAATCTATGCAAGAGACTTGTTTTTCTTTAGTGGAAGATTCTAGAGATGCAGTCCTATGAATTTTAGAGGAGAGCCCTAGTAAAAAACCCAGAAAATACCATCCTACTGCTATACATGCCCCTTTAAATTACTGAATTCAGAAATGGGAGTGTTTTCAAAAAGTGTTTATGACTGCAATCCTAAAGACATCTTCCTAGGAGTAAGCCCTATTGAATAATGTGGAACTTACTTCTGAGTAAGCAGTTCATGAATGTTAATTTAGTATAGGGATTGGAAGCTTAGAATGAATGTTTGTGGTAGGTAAGTGGGCCTTATATTCAGATTATAGAAAAGAGACATATGTAGAACACCCTTCAACGCTGTTTCTGTGTCACTCCGTTCTCTCCCCAAGCGTTCCCTCTCCTGGTCATTCATTTGCTTGAAGTGCCAGAGATTTAACTAGATTATTAGTTATGTCACTATCTGTAAAAATGTAACAAATTAATAGCTGCCATTAAAAAACAATTACCTGCTGGAGGAAAATGTGAAAAGAAACAGGCATTTCTGTGTGCTAGAAAAGTCTGCAGGGCTGGATAGTAATGGGGAAAACATGTGAAAAGCAGAATTAGTTGATACATCACAATGTATTCCTCTTCTCTGAAATGTCAATACTTCTCAAGACTTCTTTGGAGTGGGACTCTTACTTTCCAGGACCCACTTGCAAAGTAACAACACACTTCTTTCTTCTTGCCTAACATAAGGCACAGGAATCTCATATCAGTTAACACTGACTAAGTTTATGTTTTGTCTGTTTTAGTATTTATAAATGTGCAGCATTAATGAATAAAAGGCTGTATTTCATGGCCCTTTGGTATACTATGCAGAGAAACTCAAATTTGCCGTGCAGCTTCTCAGAGTTGCTGAGAGCCACCATGGCCTCCCAAGACAAAGATTTCACACCCCCCAAATGACCCTGATTCAAACGAAATATCATAACAAATCAGTTTGCTTCCTGTTACTATGAATCTATAGTAACAAAATAATTGGACTGTCTGTCCATCTGTCCATTTATGGCAAGTATAACTCATCAGGGAATAAAGCTAGGAGACTCAAAATTGGCCACCAGCTTTAAAATGATTATGGGAGATCCAGGACCAAAACGGAAAGGCACGGGATTATCCTGGCACATGTGAGCTGCCCCCCTGGGTGATTTGCAATTGAAGCTGAGGGTCTCTGTTTGTGGCAGGTAGAACTCATCAGAAAATAACACTACATGTTTGAAAACAGGCCACCAACCCCAGAATGGTCATGGAAGTCGCAGTGCAAAAATGAAGGGAATTAGAACACCCCAAACCAGGTTATCTTCACAATAGGCAACATATAGTAAGACAACTTTTAAGCAACCTGTCATGTGTCTTTAATACACAGATCCCTGATCCGCCATAGATGATTGCTGGGCTACTCTCAGCCAGACCTACATCATAGGGTTGTTGTGAGGATAAAATGGAGGACAAGAGAACAATGCAGCTTTGGACCTCTATTGGGGAGAAAGGCTGGGTATGACATTTGTTAAAGAAATTTTAATATTAAAAAGATTACATTATTTGTCATATAGTAGCCTCACAAAGGGCTCGAGCAATGGAACCTTTACTTTTACTTTAGCCTCACAAAGGGCTATTACATCTTTCTCCAACACAATAATAATGCTAACAACCCACATCTGAACTGGGAGTTCTAACTTCTGTTCCACATGTATAACCGCTAAAACCGGGCATGTAAAGGGTGGAGGAGTGGAGAAGCATCCTTTCACTACTTCGTTATATCACGGGAAAATATTACCTTCATGCACCTTGCTCATAATATTATCAAAAGTCGGAATAGAGGGACAGAAATTAAGGAAAAGAGAGGGGAAAGTTGTTTTCTCTTGCTGCAACACACAAACTACTGCTTTGCAAGATCTGGCTGAGCCAGGTGCAAGGAAAGGGAGAGAAAAGTAGAGTATAAAAACCAACTCTTTTCTTCTTCTAGACTACTGGAGAAAATGACCTTGTCAGCAGGCTGCAGGCTGGCAATTACTGTAGCAGCCATCAGCATGCTCTCTTGTCTTGCTGGATTGGTTGATGGGATTAGCATGATCTGTTACCTAAATTTGCTTTGGTCTTGCAGAAAGGCGAGTCCAGCCGATAAGAGTGCCTTTTACTGTGCTCAGGCTTCCCTGCGCCCTTAGTGGCTACAGCCAGGACTGCATCAAGAGGAAAATCACTGGAAAGGCATTCAGCTGAATTCAGCACGATGCTGACATGGGGGGGCGCCCCCTCCAGTTTACTTGGGCCCTAGAATTTTGTTCCCCTAGTCGGTGGCCCTGCAGCCTCTTACTTCCTGGCCTTGTGGCCCACCTGCTAGAGAGTCACTATGTACTTCTGGTCCCAATTTACAGTTTGAGAATCACTGGGACAGATAGTTTGACATGATATTATTGTGAAAGTTAAAGTGTTCAAGATAAGCCTCACAGTGAAATGAATGGGAATTACACAGAAGCCCAACTCTGGTAAAGGCACTGGTTATACAGCTCTAAAGCAAAGTGATAATGGATACAGTTTTAGTGCAAGATACAGTATATCCTTCAATATTATGAGGTATAAAATAGGTGTAATAATACAAAATTAAATGTAATTAAGGATTCTCAACAAGTATTTTTACTAGTAGATAGCCTTTTTTTCTGGAAACACAAAACTTTTTTTTTAAGTAATACATTTTAATAAATTCTGTTAGTTAAACAGAGCAAAGTTAGCAAAGTAGATACTGCCTGAAGGACCAAACTCAGTTCCTGCTCTGACAGCTTGGTCAGGCTAGTTGCCCCATACCAGCTGGTGACTCTGAAACCCCAAAAGGGGAACCCCCTTATGTTGGCTATTATACCCATGCCACTAGTGAGTCTTTTAAATGACTCAGTGGATGCTGGTTACCTTCCCACTTCTGAGGGGCTGTATCCTTGGTAGGCAAGTCAGGAGAGGGCACTGAGGGGCCTTTAAGACCAGTGCACTTACTCCTGAAGAAGCAAGGTGGGATACGCTTGGCCAAGGGAGGTGGAAGGGCTAGAGGAGTGGGGAATCAAACTTAGTTCTCCAGATTAGAGTTCTCCGCTCTTAACCACTACACCAAAGGAGGAGATCGGATTTATACCCCGCCCTTCACTACCCAGAGGAGTGTCAGAGCGGCTTACAAACGCCTTTCCCTTCCCCTCCCCACAACGGACACCCTGTGAGGTAGGTGGGGCTGAGAGAGCTCTGACAGAAACGGCTCTTTTTCAAGAACACCTGTGCCAGTACTATGGCTTGTCCAAGGTCATCCAGCAGGTGCAAGTGGAGGAGTGGGGAATCAAGCCCGGTTCTCCCAGATTAGAGTCCGCGCACTTAACCACTACACCAAACTGGCTGGGGACAGTTAGAAATGGAATTTGTAGAGGGAGTTGCCCCAGTGGAGATGACAGCCATCTACCCCTACAGGAGGTAGCCTGATGGCAATGCAAAAACAGACCCAGGTGCAAGAGCAACAGCAGTTCCTGCAACTAATGGTAGAGCAACGAGAACAATTGATGGAGCAGCTCTGTGTCACACAAACACAAAGTGAAAGTCCATGAGCAGATATGGGCCCAGGTCAGTACTTGGTGACTTCTTCCCCAGGTAGAGGTGTGGGCAAATCCAGTGTAGGTACCTTGGTTATCAGAACAGCGTATGGCCTGGCAGACATATTGCTTGTCAAGATTGTACCACAGGATAACCCATTGCAACTTATGCAGTGAAGTCATTTTGCATGGTCTGTGGATTGCTACCTATCAAGCAGTGTATTACTCCCATCTTCAAACAGCTTTCGTGGTTGCCCATATGCTTGTGTGTCCAATTTAGAATGGTTCTATTAGCCTTAGCATCCTGGGACATGCCTAGTTGAGGGACTGCTTCTTTTGGGGAAAAGCCTTCCAGAGGAAACAAGGAAAGCCCCCAACGCTGCTTTGAGACAGCAGTAGCTGTCTTAATATAAGGAAACCTTAGACAGATATTAAGGGGCTGGTGGCAAGCTATGTTGTTGAGGATGTTAGAGCTTTTACTGGTGTTAGTTTTTGTGTGAAGTCATTATACTGGTTTTAATGTGTCTGTATACCAACTTTGGCTTGTGATATAAGCCACTCTGAATATTGAGAAATGCAGGATAAAAATATTTTAATAAATGATAATTCAACATATTTCATTTTAATGGAATTTATGGGTCACTGCCAGGATCACATAGAAATATTTTTAAATACTCACTGAATGTGTTTTTCCTAGCTCCCACATACAGGACATTTCAGTGGTAATTAAAGTACTTGAAAATAATCTGAAAAGTTAGTTTCAGCTACCGTTTTTGGGCAAAGTCTATTTCCTTTCTGTCAGAACCTGGCCATGTACATATCGTACTGGGAGGTCAAGATTCTTGACTTCTCAGTCATTTGAGACTTGTCTGTTTCTCCTGTCATGAAATGTTTTATTAGAATGATTTAAAGTAGTCACCCAAATGGAGTTTCCAGACTTTATTCTGAAGCCTTAAAAGCTAGTTTAAAACAAGTGAACAAATAAAATGTAAGGTACTTTATTAAATAATTGGGGAAAAGGCTGAAGAAATAGTATGAGAATGAAATTTTTGGTTTTGTAGAATTTATACATCAGACAATGATTCATGATTATTTAAGCATATACGCTGAGCAGTCAAGCAGTCATCTTTCAATGGAATTAATTTCGGTCTTCAAACTGCGCCTTATTTTTTAACAGATACGTTGCTAGGAACTCAATAGGATTTGGTGGCCTGAAGGGGGGAAAAAGGAACAATGATTATTATTTTTTTGTACAGGCATTACTTGAATACTTATTTTAATTTAAATACTTTAATTCCTAAAACAATAACTTAAAATAAAGCGAAAAAAATAAGAAAAATCTGGATACTTTTACAGTACTGAGAAATAGTCCCATCCCTTTGTTTCCAATAGTAAAAACTTGTCCTCCTTTTGTTGACTAATTCCTCTGTTCTTTGTCCTCCATCTCTTAGCTCAACAAATTCACTTAATTTAGCTGGTTGTAATATATGCCTGACTCTCTATTCAGAAGCATTTTGGGGGCACTTCCAATTTTAATATTTAGTGTCAAGAGTATTAAGCATCTAGTAGATTCTAAAGATTTGTAAAAAATGCTTTATACTACCCAAGATCACCAAGCATCTTATTTTAATAATTTTATAGTTAAGATATGAGGAATACAGCCAGCAGCTAAGCAGAGAAACATTAGCTTTATAAATATGAGCCAGAATTTTGATTTCTCATATCATGTGTTTGTCTGCCTGTTCTTCAGTAGCTTGTCTAGTGCTATATAACCAGTAGTAGTAATAGTGTTTTCTTCTAATTTAATCTTTTTCAGGCTACACTGTAAAACTGCAAAGGATGATGGATTTTTTTATTGTTCATTTCATCTGCTCTTCTATTTTAACATGTTAAATTCATGAGAAGAGTCCTTCATTCTTTTAGCCAAATTATTCAAATTCATAGAATAAACTGATTTTATAACCAAAGCATTAGCATTAGACCTGGAAAATACAAGGAAAGCACTGTGATTTACTGAGAGGCATGCTGAGCCCACCCTTGTCCTTTCCTGCTTTGAAAGAGAAGGAAAGAAAGAAAAACTGCTTTCTACTTATCCAGGTTTGTAGACAAGAAGCAATAAAAAAGAATAAGAATACTCAGCTGTAAGTAACTCCATGCACGTATCTCCCATCCCATTTCCCCTTCTGAGGAGTTCAAGTAAAAGCTTCTGGGTTTGGGAACACTTCAGTCAAACAATCCCCTGCAACCCCTGGGTGAACTGGAATTTCCCCACAAATTGGATTTCTAACCATGGTTAAATCCCAGTTTAGAATCTAGACGTTGGGGGGGGATATAAACTCCAACATGGCCTGCTGTTTTCATTAAAGCATCATGGAGAATTGTAGCTTGACTGAAGCCTTCCCAAACCACAAAGCTTTCAATTGCACTCTGTGAAAGAAAGGAAGAAGGAGCCAGAGCAAAGAGAGTAACTGCTGTGGACATATCTTCCATGTCATCAATGTCAAATCTGATTGCATTCTGTTTATGACAGGTCAGTCTGATTTCCATCCCCATTATTATAGTTCCTTTTCAGGTTTTTGTTCTCAATGCCAGCGTTACTAACATGCAGAGTGAAACTGGATAATCAGCATTTACAACATGCTATCCATGGTGCTCATCAAATTAAGGCATACCACAAGAACAAGAGCTCCAAGCAGAAATGAAGCCCTTGCACTGATTTAGTTTTCAGAAACAAAAGATAAAAGCCTGCCCCACATGGGAGGTCATATGAATAAAAACTCCATTAAAAAAAGTACCTGCATATAGAAAACCAGCATGTCAGAAGAACTGTAGCCTTGCCTTATCCCCAACATAACAGTTTTTACAGGGAATTTTTTTGACTAGAGGAGCATTTAGTCATACATGCGACACCTACAGAAGTAATACATTCCAGATACAGATTTACTACATCAGCTGCTGTGGAAGAAAACTATATAAAGAAAAAGTATCCTCTGAAAAATGGATATGCACCATACCTCTCTTTTGCAAGCACTGCAAGGCCTTGTAATAAGATAGGCACAACTGTCTGATCCAAATAGGCACGTGTAGGTAATGACTGTAGATCCACCTTCTGTTTTGATGTCTTCTCAGCACTAGTCTTCTCATTTTCTGCTATCCGCTGGAGAATTTAAACACATGCCACATGAAGAGAGCACTCCAGTAATTTAGTTGAAAACATGAATTTCTGAATTAGAACACTCAACAGTAATCAAAGACCCTTATGTTTTACTTTATAGTCTTCACTCGACTGATTATAAAAAGAGAAAGTACAGGTTTTCAAAGGTTTTTTTTTATGCCTCAGACTCCAAAATAAAATAAAAATGTTCCCACACACTAACACTTCATGGTTTGACTTACAGCAAATATTTCTGATGGGATTTAATTAAAATAATTTAAAAGAACATGCAAAGGTATCAAAGCATTCTGTCGTTAATATAAGCTCATAATGATTTCATATACCAGGATCCACTGAGCAGCAAGCTTTGTAAGGCTGAGTCGCAACAAAGCAAGCTCCCCCCTCCCCTTAGTGCCATTATTTCAGCCTCTTTTTACAAAAAATAGTAATTTTGTGACTAAACTAGATAAGCTATTATGACTCGTGATGTGTTTCGTACCCTCATTCACTCAAAGCTAGAATTCATTAGCTTAACTCAAGGTTAATTGCAACTGAAAATAATTAAACCCCAGAAAAATCTTACTTACCTCTACATTTTCTGCAAGACCATATTCTGCATGAGGATTTTCTGGAACCTATAAAACATCACACAATTATAAAATAAAAATAATGAAATTTATTTTAAAAAATACAAAACAGTAGAATCAAAGTTTCTAATATTACCTGTGGCTGGCTCTCCATAATCTGTTCTGTGTCCATGATATGTAGAAGTTATCAAATATAAAGTAGGCTTGGAAGGAAAAAAAATACTGATCACACTGTGATGCATTTAAAAAGCTGATACGAAAAATATAATTGGTAGTTTTAAGCTGTCATCAAATAAACTTATGGTTATACTTGAGTCCAAATATTATAAACACCTATCACAAGTATCTTATAGTATGGGTTCATTTTTTTTCCTGTTGGGAGGAATTTTTCAGCTACACTTCTGCAAGTTAAATCTTGAATTTGAGTTATGACAATATTGCTTAACAACATCAAGTGGTTTAACTTTTAAAAATCACCCTTGTTGTTTGAAACCAGAAAAACTATGTGTACAAATCAGGTGTTGCACACTTTACTTCTGCAAGTGAAGCTGGCTGTAGAATCAAACAAAACTGATAAAGGTCCACTAAGCTGCAACTATCTCTGACACCAGAAACAAGACCAAAATCAAAAGTATTCTGATCTTGTAAACCTGGTCCTTAAGGGAAAATGAAATTCTATTCAGATCAGGTATTTCCCCATCAGCCAAGTCCCTCATCATCAGTGTTGGCTGAATTAAGTTTCAACTTATTCATCTTCATGTTCTGCACTCCTGCCCAGGTTGCACCCGACCCAGCACAGGTGTTACTATCACCACACTAGTCACATCACCGTTGCATGGCCTCAAGACCCAAGTTGCTGCAAATATGGAAATTTTCAGGTCCACTGCAGAAGCAGCATAAATTTTGTGCGCTGGGTTTGCTCAGTAGACCATAAGATTCCGGTTTCTAACAGTGCTATCCTAAAGAGAATTACATCAGTGTAAACCCATTTACTTCAGAAGAGGCGTAACTCTACTTAAGATAGCACTGTCCTTAGTCTTTGACGGCTGTGGCCAAAGAGTAAATCCAAGTCATAAGCAGGATGAAAGAAGCTTTCGATGGTATGATCGCCCCTAGCCCAGTCCTACATATGTTTATCGAGAATTAAATCCCATTCACTTCAAAGGAACTTACTCCCTGTTAAGTCTGCAGAGCACTGAAGTACAGAATTGCTTTGCCACGCACTAGCCTCTCACTATTTGCCCAAGAATCAGCCCAACTGCCTCGACTGAAGAGAGGCGGTTGGCTGCCTCCCCGGCCACGCACTAGCCTCTCACTATTTGCCCAAGCCTAACTGCCTCGTCTGAAGAGGGGCGGTTGGCTGCCTCCCCGGGTTTGATCAGACGCACCACGAACCTTCCCGGCCTAAAACAACAGCAGCGGACGCTTTTCTGCACGCGTGGGAGAAACAGAATAGTGGGGCAGAAGGCGCGAGAGGACTGGGACCCCACCAACTGAGGCACCGGCCTCCGGCTTCAGAGCGCGAGGTGCAGCATCCCGCTCCGCTAAGTTCAGTCTCGCAGATGGCCCTCCCTCACCTCCTCTTATCCGGGCAATCTTGGTCCGTAGGCGCAAACGATGAACAAGGATCGGTCGCGGAGCAACAAGCAAAACAACCGTCTACACTGACTGCACAGAACAGGCTGTCGTACACGAGTGCCGTAAATGAGAATGTCGTTCTTCAATGGCGATAGTACGCCTGCGTAGTGAGGACACTCGGGAGGGCGAGTGGAACGACGCCGTCTGAGTAGTAGGGGTGGTGGTAAGAATGTGGATGCATTCAAATAAATGAATTTTTTAGCTCTGCCCGTACATCTCAGCTGCTGCTCTTATGAACTCCTGTAGGTGCCAGTTCCGTGCCTCTCTCTCTCCCTCCCCAGCCCCAGGACTATGCTTTTCTAGTCCGTCCTGCCTCATGTAAAATACTACAGGAGTGGCTTTCATTTGGGGGGGGGGGGTAATTGCAGCCAGTTCCCAAAGTCTGAGCTTGTTTATTCATTCTATTTAACTCTCCAGCTTTCTCAGGATGCTTTATAGTTACAATAAACAACATGCACAAACAATAAAACATAAAAGATGAAAAGCTGGAGAAAAACCACCGCTTAAAAACTTAGTGGAATGAAAAAGATGTCTTCATCAGCATCCTTAGGAAAGGCAGTTATTTTACATAACCACCAAGCTGATCAAGGCTACAAGGAGTAAATTTTCCTATGAAGGTCTTACAATTAGGAAACAGAATCTAGCCAGGATTGACCACGGGAGCCTTGCCAGTAGAATCACATGCTTCAACAGGTTTCTTTAAAATGATTTAATCCATATATTTGGTTCCATAATTAAACTGATAGGAGGAAAAAGGATGGTATGAAAGCTGGATAGGAATCCTCATATTTCTCATCCATACTGTGTACATTTTAGCTGGGTGCTACAATGCAGGACATAGAGATTTACAGCACAGATGAACAAGGAATTCCATCTGACATTAATACAGAAGAATGGATAGCAGCAAGCATGATACTGTTGGTTATGGGACAATTAACCATCATACTTAAAACTAGTGATGCCATAATGATGTACTAGGTAGCACTAATGTGCCACAAGAGAGGCTGATGTGCCCTTAAAATGAATGCACCCCATACATCTTGGAGCATGGAAAACCAATACAGCATTAATCTGCCACTGTATTATCATAGCAAAAAAAGGCAATATGGAGTCACTGGGATTCCCTGATACAGTCTTGACAAACAGTACAGAATTGTGCATGGGGGGATATCTGGGCTATCTTACAGTTGCAAGGATACTTGCCTACTTTTCATTTTGAAAGGATGTTCTATCACAATTTATTTATGGAAGGTGATGGTGATCTTCTCTACCATTTGACTCCAAAAGTGTTGTGAAATCACCAGCATCCCTAATCTAGAAACTCACGGGGCAAGGTTTGATGGCAGGGGATGATGTCTGGTCATGTCATACTTACACAACATGGCATGCTTAGCCTCTATCAAGGTCGATTCTGGCACATGCAACTGTTTGGACTGCACCTTGAAAGCCTAGTGTACTGTTAGAAAATAAAGGATACCATAACCTTACTGAAACTAGGCAGGTTAGGAGTGCATAGTGCCTGAACTGCACACCTGTTGGGAAGCCTATGTATGCCACCTTGAGTTCCATGATAGAAGATGGGAATCCCATCATAAGATATCAGTGTAAATCAAATTTGCTATGTGGTACCTATTTGCTATATACTTGTGGTGGCAGTAAATTTTTTTAATGTATGTTATTTATAGTCTACCTTTCTCACTAAGACTCAAGGTGGATTACTCTAGGACCTAATTGTTCAAGAAACAACACTATGGCCCCGGTCACACGGGAGGTTTTGGCCCGGAAGAGGGACGGATCGGGGGCGTGGCAAACGGGTGTGATCAAACTGCAACATCTGGAAAGCAGTGCGCACCCGTCCCCGATCCATCCCTTCAGCCGGAAAACCCACTGCAACAAAGAACCTGCAAAAGAGCACGACTTACTGGAAACGGCGCAGCAAATGTGGCCGTGAGATCGCTGGAGCACCTGTCTAATCGAGGCTCCCGGCCGAACTGCGCATGCGCACACATGCGCAGTTCGGCTGCCTCGCTCTCCCTTCAGTGGCTTCCCCCCGGCATCTGATCCTGCCGGGGAGGAACTGCGTGGTGGCTCAGGGGATCTATCTGATCCCGCTGCCGCATGTCTCTTTTGGTGCAGCTCTAAAAAGCCGCACTTTGGCCGATCCAGTGTGGCAGGGGCCTATTGTTTCTAGGGCAAGGGAACCAGTTTCTTGTTCACTTAAAGAAAAAGAAAAAAGACAAACAAGACTAGTTACATTTGTGATGGCAGATAGCACCAAGGTACTGTATTCGGCAACCATTAGAGGGTTGCCAACCTCCAGGTGGGACCTGGAGATCTCCCATCATTACAACAACTGATCTCCAGGTTGCAGAGCTGTTCCCCTGGAAAAAAATGGCTGCGTTCGAGGGTGAATTCAATGGCACTGTACCCTGCTGAGATACTCCCATCCCCAGGCTCCAATCCCAGTATCTACGGGCATTTCCCAACCCAGAGTTGGCAGCACTAACCACCAAACCAGCTCCCCTACCAGTCCGGACATCCCGATAGGACATCAGCCAACCGGGGGGAAGGGCCGATCCTAACTCCCATGACGCACTGTGTTTCATCACCCACGCTGCCCTGCGTGCATCACTTCCAAAGCATTCTAAACCAGGGCGTGATGGGATTGGTAGTCTTCGAGTGAATACACTTGCAAGACCCATGACTCCATGAGGAAATTAACCCTCTGCCTCAACTGCTCTCCTGTCCCATAAGAAGGACTGTCAGTTGATTTCCGTAAGGATCTAACCAAACGAACAATGCCTGAAATAAATGTCGTCAGTCTTTAAGAGGCCACTCTGTGGGCGGCTTGGCCGTGGCTTCTAACCGTCCTATCGTATCTGCCACGCCCCCTATTGTCGCTTCATTACTGCGCGCAGGCGCTTGTTAACAATAGTCCCGAAGCCTAGAAGAAATCGTTACGGCGCTCCTTATTCCCGAAGGGTGACTGCGTAGATTCTGGAGGAGTGGAGAGTAGCGGGGCTGAGCGAAAGGGGCGTAGCCTTTGCTATGGCAGGGTCGCGCGGCTGCTTGTTGTCAGTCCCAGGCAGCGGGTTATGGCGACTGCAGTGAATGAATTCTCCGGGCGGCGGGAGAGGGAAGAAGAAGGGCTTAGCCGGCTCCAGTTCTCCGACCCGGGCCGCCGGGGCCTCCCCTTCGCCCTCGTCCGCAGCCGGGCCGGCTCCCTCCGTCCAGCACCAGCAGGCGGCGGTGGCCTCTCCTCACAAGCGGAACCTTTACTACTTCTCCTACCCGCTCTTCGCCGTCTTCGCGCTGCTTCGCTTCCTGGCCTTCCAGCTCGGGCTGCTCTTCGCCTGGCTCTGCGAACGCCTCTCTCGCGGCGGGGCGCTCATGGCAGCCGCCAAAGGCACCGCCAGCAGGACCGGCGCCGGCGACGCGCCCGAGACGGTGAGAGCCTGTCACAAGCGCGCCTTCGAGTGCATCTCCACGGCGCTGCGCATCGACGAGGACGAAGCC